ATGCTTCATTGTCATCCCGTATCCGCCTGAAACCCCCATGCTACATTTTGTCTCGCACCATTTGCAAGTTGCGTACCACATCCCGGTCTTCGGGTCCTTCTGCTTATCAAAATTATACCGTATAACGGCATCTTGACTTTCCATCTTAAAAAGTTAAAAATGGTAAATATAATAATCATACAATAGATGAAGATGGAGATTGGAGAATGGAGATTAGAGATTGGAGAAGATGTGTATAACAATGTTAGAAAATAAGAATATTTGTAGAATTTTTTGTACCCTCACCCACCCACCGCCAACAGCTCTATGCCTCTATAATTTCAAATTTCAAATTTCAAATTTCAAATTTCAATAGAGCCGTTTGGGGCTTTTGAATTTTGATTTCAAATTTTTTTTGTATGTTTTATTTTGAATAAATTACATAATGTAAAATTAATTAATTAATTTTATGAATTCAAAAAAAATGGTACATATAAAAAAATGAACGTATATTTATTTGAAATATGAACTACAAGTTTACAAAATTACAAGTTACAATTGAGAATTGAAGGTAAAATTAAAACATGAAATACTAATCAATCATTCAATCGGAATCTCCGGCATAGGTAGAGCCACCCTCGGTTGTAGATTCATCCATAAAGTGTTGGGATGGGGTGATGTCAATTTCTTGAGCTCTACGGGCCGCTTTCAACCAATCGTGGTAGCATATAAGCATCTCAAGAGATTCTGCGCTCAACCTCGTTCTACATTGCGTTAGGACATTGTCGGCCGAACTAAATTCTTGTTCCACGACAACCGTTGAAACCGGCATTGATAGCACTTGCTTAGCCATCTTTGCCAAAACCGGGAACATTCTTTCTTTTCCCTTCCACCAGTTTAGTACGTCAAAATCATCATCTTCTTCAAAATCAACATCATATGTTAAATACAAAGAAATCTCATTAATTGTGCTTTGTTGCGTAGCGGGAGTTGATTTCGTTTTTTTAATAAGATTGACAAATGTAGATTTGAAAATTGATTTTCCTTTAGATGATGTTTGTATCGGGGGAGGGGGCGCATTGTCATATTGTGCATGAAACTCATTAAATAATGCATAAAATATATCACTAACCTCGTTGTATTCTTTTTTCGGATCAATTGGGTTGTCCTCATATATTGGCAATGGACCAAAAAAAGCAGCATAATAATAATTCAAACATTCTTCTAAAGAACCAAGTCTAAAACGAGGATCGAGAACAAATGCAATGTCATAAATATGCGGAATATGTGAATAATATTTTAAAAACTTTTCCTTCATAAAACTAGCAAAATAACTCACATAATCAGCATTCTCAAAATTTGAAAAAGCACCGGCGAGATTAACAGCTTCACGAATAAATTGGTTTGAGGTAGGTTTATAAATATGACTAAAAGTTTCAGTTGCATTATTAAAATATATCAAAGCATTACAAATTTTTTCACAGGTGTCAATCTCAGCGGAGTTTTTAATATAGTTATCATATTGTTTCATAAAAGCAGAAAAAATATTGTTTATATCTAAGAAGAACTCCAATTAACTTATAGGTACTATTCCAACGAATAGACAAATCTTTAGGAAAAGTCACATATTTCTCACCTCTTTCTATCAAATAATCATGCCATTTTTTCCTAAGTTGTCCAATACCCCAAATACGTCTAATCCCCCCTTGACTACCTCCAACGAGGCAGGCTGGTCAGCGTCATGGCTGCCGCCACCCTCCTCCTCCTCCTCGTCGTGGCTCTCCGGAATTACTTCCTCCACATCGTCGTCTTCGTCCTCGAGCTATTCTTCGTCAATGGTCCTCGGTTGATCTTGAAAAAAACGGGAATTATGTCGGTGCAATTCTTGTTCTAGTTGTTCGTCAGTCATCGCATCCACATCCCTCCTTGCGTAACCCGTATCAAAATCATCTCGACTTTGAGATGAAGAGTCGATATGTGATTTACCTTTGCGGGATCTCTTCCTCGCAAGCTCTTTCGTTCGGTTGCGCTCGAGGTTACCCATATCAACCGAATATCTAGGACGATCCATCTAAAAAATGTAGCAATTAATAAAAAATTGTAATAAAGTAATTAACTATTAATTCGAGTTATAGCAAATTAGTATTTTAAAGTTTACTTTAATCAAATTAACTAGTGAATTAACTAGTTTTGTGTACAACCTATTTTTTTTACTAACAATGAAATTAATATACTTTAACTTTAACTATAATGAGAATTAACTAGTTTTTTAAACTAGAGTCAAATGTAGCAATTAATAAAAAATTGTAATAAAGTAGTTAACTATTAATCTAACTATTAATTCGAGTTATAGCAAATTAGTATTTTAAAGTTTACTTTAATCAAATTAACTAGTGAATTAACTAGTTTTGTGTACAACCTATTTTTTTACTAACAATGAAATTAATACACTTTAACTTTAACTATAATGAGAATTACAACTAGTTTTTTGTACAACCTATTTTTTTTACTAACAATCAAATTATTATAGTTTAACTTTAACTATTATGAGAATTAACTAGTTTTTTTTCAAGTAACGTGAATACAAAATTAAACAAGTGTAAATAATAGAATAATTTCGTACCTCTTTCGGACTTTCGGTCTTTCGAATGGGAGTAATAGAATGACTTCAAATTAATTAGATATAATTCCAACTATATTAATAGATATAATAAATGTATAAGTAATATATAATTAGATAACAAATATAAGTAATATAATATTATAATGTATGTATTTATAAATTATAAGTAGATAATTAATATAAAGTAGATATATAAATAATAAATATAATATATTGGAGAATAAGAGAATTAGAGAGTAGAGAGTTAAGAATAGGATTTAGGAAGAATTGGAGAAAAGATATGAAAAAATGTTTAAGATTAGGAGTATTTATAGGTTTTTTTACCCCACCCCCACCCCACCCCACCCCACCACCCAAACCCCTCGGACCCCCCTGCACCTAGGGTTGGATTCGGTTCGGGCCACCCGGCCCGTGACCCGGCCCGGCCCAGTACTGTGCGGGCCCGGGACCGGCCCGATCGGGCGTTCCGGGACCGAGTATGGACCCGAACCGGTGGGATTGGGCGGGGCGGGCTCGGTGCTGGATTAATGTGACCCGGCCCGGCCGGGTCGGGCCCGGGCCCGGGTCCGGTCTTAATTTAAAAAAAAAATTGGGTCTTGGCTAGTGGGCTACTAGCCGTTGGGGGTGGGGCTGGGGACAACCCAAACGGCTATATAGCCGTTGGGTGGGGTAAAGGGGGGGTCCGGGGGGATTGGGTGGTAGGGGGGTGGTGGTGGGGGGTGGGGGGTAAAAAAACCTATAAATACTCCTAATCTTAAACATTTTTTCATATCTCTTCTCCAATTCTTCCTAAATCCTATTCTTAACTCTCTACTCTCTAATTCTCTTATTCTCCAATATATTATATTTATTATTTATATATCTACTTTATAGTTTAAAGAAGTTAAGATGGAAAATCAAGATGTCATTATACGGTATAATTTTGATAAGCAGAAGGACCCGAAGACCGGAATGTGGTACGCAATTTACAAATGGTGCGAGAAAAAATGTAGCATGGGGGTTTCAGGCGGATACGGGATGGCAATCAAGCATATGAAGTCATGTGACAAAGCTAAAGGATCGGGAGGTGCGGGAAGTTCCGATTGATTACAATTTTCAAAATGTTTGTCTCTTAAAGTTTGTTTTAATTTTCAAATGTAGTTCCTATTTCATTTCAAATAAATGCACTTGAAGTTTGTTTTTAATACTCGTATAAAACTATAAACTATAAGATATAAATTACAAATAAAAAAAAAATTAACCGGCCCGGCCAGAACCGGACCCGACCCGTGACCCGGGCGGGTGGCCCGGCCTGAACCGGGCCCGTCCAACCCTCGAGCCGGTCCCGGACCCATGTCATACAAACCGGCGGCCCGACCGGGCCTAGGCCCGACCCGAGCCCGACCCGACCCGAGTCCATCACTACCTGCACCCCACCCAACGGCTATACAGCCGTTTGGGTTGTCCCCAGCCCACCCCCCAATGACTGTTTTGGCCAAAAAAAAAATTGACCGTTGGACCCGGACCCGAGCCCGACCCGGCCGGGCCGGGTCAACTTTTTCCGGAACCGAACCCACCCCGCCCATCCCCACCGGTTCGGGTCTACACCCGGTCCTGGACCGCCAGACCGGGCCGGTCCCGAGCCCGCACAGTAGCGGGCCGGGCCAGGTCACGGGCCAGATCACGGGCAGGACCGGGTCACGAGCCGGGTCACGGGCCGTGCCAGGTCACAGGCTGGGTCACGGGCCATGCCAAGTCACGGGCCGGGTGGCCCGAACCGAATCCACCCCTAGGGCTAATGAGCCGAATTTACATTTCACGAGGAGGTTTGATGCATTAAACCCACCATACTCAACCAGTTTTTTTTTCAAAATACTAACGGGTTCGGGTCTGGGTAAACAACCAGGTCCGGGTCAGGTGCGAGTCTAGACCCGACCGATTGACAGGCCAAACTGATTGTCCTAGGAATGAACTGGCATACACATAGTAGTAGTTGGTATTGGACCAGAACAGGTACTCTTCCAGTTCCCAAGTATGGGAGTATGAGACTAGACCGACTTTGATGACAGTAATTTGTACTCTTTCCGTCCCATAAAATTCTTCTCGATTTGATTTGAATCGGAGTTTAAGAAGGTGAAAATGTATGAGTGGTTGAGTAAAAAAAAAGTAAATGAATATTAGCCGCATGAAACTTTCTAAAAAGAGATGATTTTTTTTTGGAAACATCTGAAAATGGCAAGTGTGAAGACTGTTATAGGACAGACCGACAGAGGGATATTTTTTATTAAAAAAAGGGTACTCACAATCCCGCAATTTTGGGACTAGGAAGTGGCATGTTCGAAATCGGGGCGGGATCCACCCGGACCACCCCTACCGCCCTACGTGACACTGTATAGGGCCCCATTTATCTTCACAAATAGGGTACAAAGTTGTTTCATTGCAAGAAAAAACCAAGTGAGAATGTTGCATTTGATTGATATAAAGAATTGAAATTGTTGAAGTTAAATGGAATATGTAATGACAAACATTGAGAGGAGTTTGAATTTACATGACCACTATAGAGAACAACGTACATTGTCAATCAATCATGAATAACAAATGAACCGTCTATTCTTTTATCTATGGAGGCCGAAGTGGGAAGCATCACAGTAGAAAGGTCACCAGAGTTAGAAGCTACTGCTGGTTTGAATTCGTATGGTCCTTCCTTCACACCCCAGACCTGCAATATGATTTTGTTCATTCCAATGTTAAATAAAAATAATACTAATAAGTAGGACTAAGAGCCTATTTGGTAAGGCATGTTCGACTTAAATGACCGGATAATATTTGATAACATCCATTTCATAGAAAAAATAGGCAAAAGTTATTGATTTGGTTTATTCTCGACCGATGAGCAAAATAAGCCGAAGTCAACGGCTAGCCTGAAGGCATTGCAATTGTTGACGATCAAGGTAGTCAAAATCACAAGGCACACTCAAAATGCTAGAGTACTCTTTTGCCTGAGGCGCAAAAACAGCTCTCGCCTGACTCATTGCAAATATAGTGAAGAAAATATTATGCACATTCTAGAATTATAGAACATGATAATATTAATAATAATGTTGAACTAAATGAAGGGGGTTGCCTTGGCACGCCGGTTAAGGTGTTGTTGTGTGACTAGATCACAGGTTCAAGTCTTGAGAGCGGTCTCTTGTCAAAAGTTGACAGAGGAAGGTTTGCCCTTCATACACCATTGTGGTGGGACCCTTCCCTCAACCCTCACCTTGCAAGGATGCCTTCGTGCACCGGGTTGCCCTTTAATGTTGAACTAAATGCATTTTAAAAGTCGTGACTACCAAGAACAAAACACTAATTCAGAAGTCATAACTTAACTCTTCAATTATAAAACTAAAATTGAAACTTAGATTCTAGCCCAATTCACAAGCCACGACTATCAATGATGATTCATCACTAACAGATGAGTTCATACCCAATTAGCAAGTTCATATAACAGCATTTGAAGTTTCACCGTCCATATAAGTATAAGCAATAGTCAAATTCTAATATAAACATATCAGAAAGAGAGAAAAAACTTATTAGGAGAGAATAAAAAACAGAAGAAGAAAGTGGCAAAAAAGAAGAGAATGTGAAATAAAGAGACTTTTTAATGAAGATAGAAATAAGGAAAGAAGATATAGTCTTTACATTCAAAAGTAAGGAAAGAAAATATATAAGAATAAGGAAGAACAAATAAACTAGAAACGTGAAATAGGAAACGCGAAGCGGGAAACACGAGAAATGTGATTTGAAAAATATAGGATAAGAAACGTGGTGGAAACGCAGGAATATTAAAAACATAAGGATATTGTAGTATTTTTTTCCATATATGTACACAAGTTTTTTTGTGCAAGGTATTGATGATCTTACTATACTCCTGGATTTTATGGTAAATCGGGACTTTGTGAGAAGAATCCAAACGATAGAACTAAAGTGGCTTTGAGAAAGATGGGGCAAAATAAAGTAGAGGGTCTAGATAGCATATCCAATCTAGGCCTGAAGAAGTTTGGGAGAAAGAGGCATCGAGTGGCTAACACGTTTCTTCAACATCATTTGAAGAAACAACAAAATATTAAAGAGTTGGCGAAAGATAAGGGTAATGTACAAGAATGTGTCAGCTATAGAGAGATTAAGCTTATAAGTCACACCATGAAACTTTGAGAACGAGTACTTGAGTAAAGACTCCGAAAAAAGTGAAAATCTCGGAGAATCGGTTTGGTTTTAGACAAGTTGTGGAGAAGTAACAAGATACTAAAAAGGATCTGCATTTGGTGTTCATTAACTTAGAAAATGCATATGATATGGTACATCGAAAAGTCCTTTGGTGGACCTTAACTACAAAAAGGATATCACATAAGTATATCAATATCATCATGGATATTTATGAAAATTGTACTACAAATGCACCAACTAGTGTAGGGAGTACGACAAAGTTCCCGGTTACTATCGGAGTGCATCAAGAATCAACTTTGAGTCCTTTCTTATTTGTATGGCATTAAAGCAAAGTTGGAAGTATGGAGACAAACATTGGAGACCAATGGTTTCAGAATGAGCTAAAGCAAGACAGAGTATATGGAGTGCAAGTTTGGTAGAGTAGAAATAGTAGTAACGGTGTGATATATTTCGTTACTTGGGCTCCATAATCCAGAAAGAAGTTGAATTAGATGGAGATGTATCCGGGGGCAGATCTGCCTTAGGGCCAGGGAGGGCCCAAGCCCACCCTAAAAAATATATATTACTAGTGTGTGTGGAGCGGTTCCGGTAAGAAAGGACTTTTAGGAGAGAAATAAGCATGATTCTGGACCGTTGGATTGTATTATATGGAACTGAATTGTGCATTTCGTGAAACTAAAATGTGCAATAGATGAAATCGAAATGTGCATAATAAAAAGTTAAACTCAAATGTGCATTATGTGAAACCGAAATGTGCATAATAAAAGGTACAAAAAATGGTATCACATCGCACCTTTTATTCTGCACATTTCAGTTTCACCTAATGCACATTTCAACTTCACATAATGCACAATTCAGCTTTACATATTGCCAATGTATCATACCTTTTGTGTTGCACATTTCAATGTCACCTAATGCACATTATATTTTCATCTCATGCACGTTGAGTTTCACATAAAGCAAATCTAACGGTGCAGATTAATTCTCATTTCTCTTCTAAGATCATTTTTTTATTTGAACCCAATTATATATATATATATATATATATATATATATATATATATATATATATATATATACTGTTGTATAGAAAGCATATAAAAATAAGGAAAGGCAAAATGTAAACACTAGTTGTTTGGGAAAGATGGAAGTAGACTTGTGCAACAACCTACAGGACTATATATATATAATGTTGTATAGAAAGCATATAAAAACAAGGAAAGGCAAAATGTAAACACTAGTTGTTTGGGAAAGATGGAAGTAGACTTGTGCATCAACCTACACGTCCTGGGTTCAATCCCCATGGAGCGCAAGGTTTTTGAATATTTTCATTTGGAGTGCATGGTGTTTTGGAAACTTCATCCCCCCCCCCCCCCTCCTCTCAAAATCTCTTTTCCCAGAGGCCACACCGAAAGATGATTCTTTCTTCCTTTAAACATTTTCTATTCCAACTTGATCTCCATCAATTTGTACAAGCTTAACACCAATCTCAATAGCCTAAAAAATTAATTAGTTTAGTTCATTGGCATTATTAGGTGAAAATTAGTCCAACTATTTTACATGGAGTATAGACTATAAGTAAAAAGAAAATCGGTACCAAACATAGAGCTTTAATGGTTCTATTACTTTAACCCTTTAATGATTTTGTTCTTTATACTGTCATTCTTTCAGTTTTTAGGCTTTCAGCTTTATATCTTTATATAATTCTAATTTTTATATTCTGGTTTACATCTAATTTGACAATATCAGTCCATGAAAATCACTAAAGAATAGTTGTAAATTTGAGGTGTTTTTTCTATTTTACTTTGATAATTTTTTTTATTCTTTTAACATTTAATATTTTTTGGACATTTTTGTTGCAACAGATGTTATTTTATATCTGAAAATAAATTTTGTTAAATATATACTATTTTACTATTTGGAGAGAGCAAAGTGGAGGACGCACATCCGATTGATGTCTTGTCTACCTTTCCTCTCTTTTTTTTTTTATCGTTTATCTTTCTTATCTTTTTATATTCTTATGTTATTTTTATCTTCTAGCTTTTTTATGCTCTTTTATTTTTTATCTTTTATATTTGTTATATTCTGTTATATTCTTGTGTTATTGTTATCTTATATTTATTTATCTTTATTTTATTCATTTTATCTTACTTTTTTTCCCTTTTCTTGTCCGTCTTCTCTTTTTGGCATCGATATCATAGATCGATTCATGTTAGCCGACCTCAAATTATTTTGGGATTAAGGCTTGGATGTTGTTGTTGTATATACTATTTTACTACATTTTGATATTTTTTATTTAATTTAATATTGGCTCCACCTAAATGTCAATGTTGGATCCACCCCTGGATGTATACCATAGAATCAGAACATGGTGGATGAAATGGAAGGGTGCATAAGGATTTCAATGTGATCGAGGTATGATGGCTAGACCAAAGGGTAAATTTTATTGTACAACAATGTCATATTCAAAAGATGAGTGTGATAGGGATGCGTATGTTACATTGAATGTGTGATATATTTCGTTATTTGGGCTCCACATTGAATGTGTGAATGTGTAAATTAGATGAACATTTATCACATAGAATTAGAACAGGGTGAATGAAATGGAAGGGTGCATCAGGGGTTCTATGTGGTCGAGGTATGCCGACTAGACTGAAGGGTAAATTTTATTAGACAACAATGTCATATTTAAAAGATGAGTGTGACAGGGATGTGTATGTTACATTGAATGTGTGATATATTTCATTACTTGGGCTCCATAATTCAAAAGGAAGTTGAATTAGATGGAGATGCATCTCATAGAATTAGAACATGGTGGATGAAATGGAAGGGTGCATTAGAGGTTCTATGTGGTCGAGGTATGTCGACTAGAGTGAATGGTAAATTTTATTGGACAACAATGTCATACTCAAAAGATAAGTGCGACAGGTATGCGTATGTTGCATTGAATGTGTGGACGTACCAGAAAACACCGTTGGAGAAATGAGATAATCAGACAAAAGGTGGAAGTAGCACCTATAGAAGATAAGATGTATGAGTCTCGATTACGGTGGTTTGGTCACGTACGCAGAAAATTGAGTGATGCACCTATTAGACGAGTTGAGAGTTGGACAGAATAGGAGGGGAGGAGAGGGAGAAGAAGACCCAAATAGACACAGATTAGAGCAATCGGAACTGATATGTTTCTTCTTGGGTTGTATGAAAGTATGACTTTGGAGAGAGCAAAGTGTAGGGCGCATATTCGTGTGGACGATTAATCTCTTTTCTATTTTCTCTCTTTTTTCTTTGATCTTTTATCTTCTTATATCTTTCTATGTTCTTATGTTATTTTTATCTTTTATCTTTCTTTTTTTTATGTTTTTATCTTTTATGGTTCTTATGTTCTTATGTTATTTTTGTCTTTAGTCTTTCTTGTATTCTTTTATCTTTGTATCTTTTATCTTTTTTATTTTCTTATGTTATTTTTATTTTATATTTATTTTTATCTTATCCAATTTATTTTACCTTATTAATTTTTTCTTATCTTTCTTTTCTTTTTGGCGGTGATAACTTGGTTTGATTCATGCTAGTCGACCCAAAAAACTTTTGGAAATAAGGATTGGATGTTGTTATGGCACAATTGTTTTTCATATATACATATGCACATTATTTTTTCATATAACTTGTTTGTTAACTCGATAATAAATAGATAAATAAATGTTCAAATTTAGAAATTATTACATGTAAGTACATAATTAAACATTAAATGCAATGCATTTCTAACAATGCATTGCATTATGAAATACTTCCTCCGTTCTCTTTTAGTTGCAACGGTCCACTTTTCACGTTTGTCAACACACAACTTTAACTATTAAAATACTTCATTTCTTATTAGTAAAAAATTAAAAATTTCATATTTTGAAAATTTGTAATGAGAGGAATCATCATCATCATTACCCTAGTGCCGCAAAGGCTCCCACCTACGGTGGGGTAAGGGGGATCGGATGTACGTAGTCTTGCTCATGTACTTAAAACACAAAGAGACTATTTCCGAATGAGCCGTAGTGAAAATCGCGTCGATAGTTACATGGACTGACTGCTACTTCACAACAAAGAAGAGCAGACAGTTTAGTGAACTATTTTGCTTTGTTTCATCATATTCCCAAGCCAAAAAATAGTGAGTCTTTGACTCCATTGCAAATGATAAGAAAGAAATTTGTAATGAGAGGAATAAAACAATATTTTTCAAACCAATAATTTATAGTATAATAATAAATAAATTGTAGTGTAATTATAGTATGTGAATAGTACAAAACTCACCAATGTTGCAATTGAAAAAGAACAAAAGTAGTATCACCATGTTACTATGAAGAAATCCCATTTTTTGAAAAGACACGGTTTTTCATCAAGGAATCCCATAAAAGGGAAAAATTTGAAAACCCAAATGTTCTCAAACGCTACTTATTTAGGGAAATGAGTTTCTCAATTTTTCTAATTATGGAAAAGGCCCTAAAATGGGAATTTGAAGTTTCTGACACACTTCCGACTTCCCGAAATAGAAACAAGGAAATGTGAGTCAAGGGAGTGTTCGTACTTCATGAAACGAACAAGGTTACCTTCACCATGATGCAGGGGCGTAGATAGGGGGCCAACCTAGACCCTGACCCACCCCAAATTTCAAAATTGTCTATATTTTTAAAGTAAAAAATTTCATGTAAATTATTTCCAAAAAAAGTCTTTGTAACGGCCCAGTCCAACCCAGTGCCCTGGCTCCGCCCCTGTTGTGATGTGTGGGGTTTGAGTTGAACACATAAAGAAGAATGCTACGAGAATTTCCTAAGTTTATATTAAGTTGGATACACAAGGTTTATGTTGTTTTGCCCTATTAGTTGGATGGGCTATATCTTATCATGAATATGGTTTTATTTAAAATAGGGCCAAATCTTATTCACAAAAAAAAACGAGCAGCCTTTCCCAACCAGGCGCAAAAGGTGTGCGCTTTAGCACCTCTTGCACTATATGCTTTTGACTACCCTGTTGAACAAATGTAATCCACAAAGCACTCTACCTGATTTCCACTCTCATCATAACCTCTATCCCAAGAATGTATCTCATTATTCTTGAGTAGTGCGAGCTCTGCCGTACAATACGATGCGCCATTCTGTCATAAGAAGGAAATAAAAACTGAAATCGTGATATACAACATTAGAATCAGCCAAAAAATTAAGGGGGTCATATACCCATGTATTAGGAAATCCATTAGCAGGTGTTGATCCTTCATATAAGCACCGTTTTCCACGTTCACAACGCCTAAGATGAATGGTAGTCAAATGTTCAGCAATGTCCTGCAACTTTTAACAGTACCTGTTATTCCAAATATTTTTAGACAATAATTTGACACTTAATTTCTTAACTAGTTGGGATATAGGTGTAGATGATGATTTCAACTAAATTATATATATTAGCAGGTGTTGATCCTTCATATAAATACAAAATGCATATGTGGTTCATGTAAGTATCTTTGACAGAAAAGTGATGTAATATGTTCTGAAAGTTCTGAAACTGATTCCTTACACGTATGCATATTGTAAGACCTTATAGTGTTTAAGTACTTTTAGAATGGTCCATGATAGAATATTTTCAAAGCTGAAGTGTTTCTCTTATTGATAAACAGAATGCAACAGAAAGATAAAGAAATGATTTGAATATTATTGATTAGGATAGTTCAGATTTACAGAGTATTTATAGACAAAGAACTGTATTGCTAACTACTAACTAACACACGAGATAGTACTAATAGTAGTTAGTTAGTTAGGTACAATATACTGAACAGAATACATTCCTAATATTCCCCCCTCAAATTCAGTGTGATTTGTGTGAAAACTCAATCACATTGAGTTTGTTTTTCAACTCTGTAAATCTGGATGCTGAGAGTGGTTTAGTCAGCACATCTGCAACTTGATAAGAACCAGGGATGTGCTGCACTTGAAGTCTTTTATGAAGAATCTTTTCTCTGACAAAGTAGAGATCAAGTTCCATATGTTTTATTCTTGAATGAAAGACAGGGTTATGAGCTAGATGAACTGCACTTAGGGTTATCACAGTAGATTTGAGGCATAGAGTATGGAACTTGAATCTCCTGAAGTAGATATTGAATCAACAAAAGCTCAGCTGCGGTGTCAGCTAGACTTCTGTATTCAGCTTCAGCTGAAGATCTGGCTACACATAGTTGTTTTCTTGACCACCAAGAAATGAGATTAGGTCCTAAGAACACACAAGAACCGGATGTTGACCTTCTGTCATTGGGATCTGAGGCCCAATCAGCATCACAAAAAGCCCTTAGTTGCATAGGAGATCTTGAAAGAATGGGTTGTAGAAGAAGACCATGTTTAAGTGTACCAGAAAGGTATCTTAATATACGTTTGACTGCCTTCCAGTGATCTTCTAAAGGAGATGCCATAAACTGACACACTTTGTTAACTGCATAGCTAATTTCTGGCATGGTTAGAGTAACGTACCGTAGAGCACCTACAATAGATCTGTAGTGTGTAGCATCAGTAACATAGTTGCATCCTTCTTTTAAAAGTTTACAACTACTAAGCATGGGTGTTGTGATGCCTTTAGAATCTTTCATGCTAGCTTTTTACAAAAGATCCTTGATATACTTTGTCTGTGAGAGATGTAGACTGCCATCAGAAAGTTTTTGAGTCTCAATTCCCAGAAAATAGTCAAGCTCCCCCAGATGCTTTAGTGAGAAGTTGGAGTCTAGTTTTTGAATAAGATGCTGAAGTAGTATTATTTCCAATAAGTAAAAAATCATCAACATAGATCAACACATAAATCTGAATTGTATTAGAAAGATAGAATAGTAATGAAGCATCACACTTGGACTGTTTGAAACCAAAGGAATATAAGGCTGAGGTGAGTTTAAGAAACCAAGCTCCGGGAGCTTGTTTTAAACCATAGATAGCTTTATTAAGCTTGCAGACTAGAGATTTGTCAGAAGATTGAAAATCTGGGGGTTGCACCATGTATACTTCTTCTTGAAGATCACCATTTAAGAAGGCATTATGAACATCAAGTTGTTGTATAGTCCAGGAATTGGATATAGCAATTGATAGAAGAATTCTGATAGTTATAGGTTTGACCACGGGAGAGAATGTTTCACTGAAATCAAAACCAAATTGCTGATGAAAACCTTTTGCAACTAATCTGGCTTTGAATTTGTTAATAGTACCATCGGGGTTTTCTTTTAATCTAAACACTCATTTGCACCCAATGGCATGTTTGTCAGGAGGCAGAGTAGTAAGAGTCCAAGTTTGGTTGGTTAACAAAGCATTATATTCTGTCTGCATAGCCTGAAACCACTCGGGTGAGTCAAGAGCCTGTCTAACCGATGTTGGCTCAGTATGAGCTAGGAGCAAGGTTGGATTATGTCTAGGTTTTACTATACCTGATTTAGCTCTAGTGTTCATAGGATGAACATTGGAAGATCGGACTAAATAAATAGGTGCAGTGATGGTAGGTGGAGAATTAGAGCTAGGTGACTCGGAATTAGAGTGGGATGACTCAGAGGTAGAATGAGATGACTCGGAATTAGAGCTAGATGACTCAGAATTAGAATTAGATGACTCAGGTTGGGTATTAGTATTATGTTGAGAGGCTGAAGGAGAAGATAAGTCTGATAAAGGAATTAATGAAGAAGGTGGGGTTTGCAGAATTGTTAAGGGTGTGTTTGTACTTTGTAGGTTGATTGGATTGAGTAGAAGTAGTATTTGGAGGAAACAAATGAGTATAAGGAAATTTGAACTCATCAAAGATAACATCTTTAGATATATAGATTTTTCCAGTAGAAGCTAAGCACTTGTAGCCTTTGTGTTGAGGAGAGTATCCTAAAAAGATGCATTCCTCACAATGAAATTGAAATTTGTGTTTATTATAGGATAGCAGGAGCATCCAAAGACTCTTAAGGTGTAATCTGGAACAGATTTGTAGAGTTTAGTATAAGGAACTAGATTAGAGATAGAGGCTGAGGGAGTTCTATTGATAAGATGAACTGCTGTAGCAAAGGTAGCATCCCAAAATTTGAAAGGAAGGGAGGAATGGGCTAATAGACTTAGACCTTTTTCAACAATAGATCTGTGTTTTCTTTCAACTACACCATTTTGATGGTGAGTATGAGGACAAATAAATCTATGTGTTATGCCTTTTTCAGTGAAAAAGGAAGTAAAGGGCCTAACAGAAATGAATTCACCTCCCCAATCTGATTGTACATATTTTATAGTGGTAGATAATAGAAATGAAGCAAGGTAGAAGCAGAAATGAAATCATCTTACTTAGAATCAGATATTACAGAGTATTTATACAGGAAGTAGTCATAGCTAACATAACCGAAGCCTAACAGAAAGCAGTTACATTGTTTTACAAAGAAATACACGTGTAGTTTTCCTACACTATTCCTAACATTCCCCCCTCAAACTGAGGGTGATTGAGTTGGAAAGTCAATCACACTGAGTTTGTTTCTGAACTCAAGAAAGGTGGAAGCAGATAGAGGCTTGGTCAACACATCTACAATTTGTTGGGAGGCTGGAATGTGAAACACTTCAAGCTGTTTGAGTTGGACTTTCTCTCGTACAAAGAAAAGATCAATTTCCATGTGTTTTATACGAGTATGCAGAACAGGATTGTGAGCTAGTTGCACTGTACTAAGGTTGTCACAGTAGATTCTGGGAAGAGTGAAAGGAGCTTGAAGTTCTTTGAGTAGGAATTGGACCCATAAAATTTCTGATGTAGTATCTGCTAGGCTTCTATATTCAGCTTCTGCTGAAGATCTGGCTACCCTTAGTTGCTTTCTGGACCACCAAGAAATAATATTAGGGCCTAGAAAAATGCATGACCCAGATGTAGATTTCCTGTCTGTAGGATCTGATGCCCAATCAGCATCACAAAAAGTTGTGATTTTTTGTGATAGGTAGAGGTGTTTTTGTCAAAGGAAGAGGTTTGATCAGTAATCCATGAGTGATGGTTCCAGAAAGATATCTCAGGATATGCTTCACAGCTTTCCAATGTTCTTGTAAGGGATTGGCCATAAACTGACACACTTTATTTACAGCATAGCTGAGTTCAGGTCTTGTTAAGGTAGCATACTGTAGGGTTCCAACAACAGATCTGTAATGAGAAGGATCATGAAGAGAATCATTCCCTTCACTGGTAAGCTTACCGGTACTCACCATGGGTGTTTTCACACCCTTGGAATCAGCCATTCCAACTTTGTGAAGAAGATCTCTGATGTACTTGGTTTGGGAAAGATGCAAACAACCATTAGGTAATTTCCTGACTTGGATGCCCAGAAAGAAATCTATGTCCCCAAGATGTTTGAGAGAGAAAGAAGAATGTAAGGCTTGAATGATTTGTTGTATGACAGTGGAGTTATTGCCAATGACCAGAATATCATCAACATAGATTAGGATGTAGATTTGGATTCCAGTCTTGAGGTAGATAAGAAGAGAAGGATCACTTTGGCTTTGTTTGAAACCAGCATTATACAGAACTGAAGTGAGCTTGTGAAACCAAGCTCTTGGAGCTTGTTTTAGACCATATAAGGATTTATGGAGTCTGCAAACAAGAGAGGTGTCCTTAGCTTGAAAACCAGGGGGGTTGAGACATGTAGACATCCTCCTCAAGGTCCCCATTTAGGAAAGCATTGTTAATATCAAGTTGTTGTATAGACCATTGATGAGAGACAGCCAATGTGAGAAGAATTCTGATAGTGACAGGTTTAACTACTGGAGAAAAGGTTTCTCCAAAGTCAAAACCAAACCTTTGATGAAAACCTTTGGCAACTAACCTTGCTTTGAACTTATTCACAGAACCATCAGGATTTTCTTTGACTCTGAATACCCATTTGCAACCAATAACCTGCTTGCCTGGAGGAAGAGACACTAAAGTCCAAGTATTGTTAGCAATCAGGGCATTGTATTCAGATTTCATTGCTGCAAGCCAAGGTGGAGAAGAGAGAGCTTGCTTCACTGATTTAGGCTCTATATGAGCTAACAGTAAGGTGGGATTAAGTCTAGGTTTTACAATCCCAGATTTGGATCTGGTTTGCATGGGATGATTGTTGTGAGGAGGACTTGGAGCTGGAGGAGGATTAGAATCAGATGATGAGGAGTGAGAGTGGGCAGTGTTATCATTAAATGAATTAGAAGGAGTTGACTCAGATTGGGAGGATTGTTGATGAGGAATTTGATGATCAGTGTTAAACTGAGATGGAGTGGATGAAGATGTAGGAGAAGAATTTGAACTGTTGGAATTGGATGTAGGAGTAGCACCATTGTCAGAGTGGAATGAAGATGAATGAGAAG